ATGTCCCTGTGGACAGCATTGACACTTGGAGACAATTGGAATTCCACAACGCCGAACTACATCATCGACAGTAACCACATTATTCCAAAGGCGCCAACAAAAAACAGAATTTTTAGTGGCATGGTGGGATTCCAAATGATCTTGTAAGGAAGGGTGGAAGATCTAGTAGGTCTGATAAGAGACCAAGCTGAGTTTGTAGAGAAAAGACCATTACTGCAAGGGGACCAAACTAATTCATCACTACCTTTGCGAAGTTGGACTTGTGAGTGTTGAATTTCCTCCACTAAAGCTGAACCACCCAAAGACAAAAGTTTATCCAAGTTCCATTTGCCATTTAAGACTACATCATGAAGTCTTAAACTTGGGGAAATGACAGTCCAACCAAGTGCGGATAAACTGCCCGAACCTCTCCAATTGTCATACCAGAAAAGAGCACTGCCATATCGGATAAGCCATCTGCTGTGTTCTAAAATGAATGGGAAGATATGGGAAAGGTGTTTCCATATAGGTGAATCTTTAATACTTACAGGAATATTGGCCATGTTAAAGTGATGACTGAGATATTTTTGTCTCAAGAAATCAGCCCAGAGAGAGTGCGAAGTAAGAATTCTCCAAGCCATTTTACATTAAAGCGACTTGATCACCTCAAAGAGATTGTGAATACCCAAACCTCCTTCCTCTTGTGGAAAACAGATATTCTTCCAAGAAATCCAATGACGTCTAAAGCCATTTTCAGAGTCTCCCCAGAAAAAATTTGCAAAAAGAGCATGAATCTCTTTAACAACTTTTATGGGAGGGGTGATCACTGAGAATAAATAGATAGGTATGGAGCTTAATACTGATTTAATCAAAGTGAGCTTACCACCCATGGACAGAAGCTTTCCTTTCCAGCCCGCTACTTTTCTCCTTATTTTATCAAGCACTGGAGTGAACATAGAGGAGACTGGTTTGCCATAATGGAGAGGGGCTCCAAGATAAGTAAACGGGAGGAAGCTTTCTTTAAATCCTGTAGTGGTTGCAATGATGCGCTTTCTAGATGTTGCAACTCGCTTGTGGACTATAAAAGAACTCTTAGCCACATTAATTAACTGCCCAGATATACTTTCATAACGCCAGAGAAATCCCATTAAACTATTAAGACTACGTCGAGTTCCATTAGTAAACACCAAGAAATCATCTGCATAGAGTAGGTAGGATATAGGAGAACATGTAGCGGGGACCTGATAAGGAGCTCTTCTGCCATCTTCCAGAAGTTTTGTTAGGCCTCTACTTAGAGGTTCTTCGTTGAGGATGAATAACAATGGAGATAATGGATCACCTTGCCGAAGCCCACGGGAAGGAGTGAAAAATCCAGCTAAAACACCATTAATCTTAACTAATACCGTGGTGACAAAATAGCATTTTTAATGAGGGTGACCCAAGTATCAGCAAATCCAAATGCCTTTAACACATCTAACAAGTATCCCCAAGAAACCCGATCAAAAGCTTTTGCCATGTCTACTTTCATTATCACGTTGGCGCCTCGAGAGCGCTTATTCAAGTTATGTACTAACTCTTGAGCTAGTACAACATTTTCAGAGATCATTATACCAGTAACAAACCCACATTGATTCATAGAAATTAATTTAGGTAAAATCGGAATCAAACGATTGGCAACCACTTTGGATATGATTTTGTAGAATACCTGACATAAACTTATAGGTCTATAATCCTGAAATGTCTTGGGATCTTCAGATTTAGGCACCAAAGCAATAATCGAAGCCCCCAATGCGTCATTCAATTCTTTGCCCCTAAAGAATTCACGAACTGTCGTAACTATATCTTCAACAACCACTGGCCAGGCGTGAATAAAAAGGGATGAAGTAAAACCATCAGGCCCCGGAGCAGAGTCTTCAGATATATCCTTAACTGCATGATGGACATCTACTTCAGAAACTTCGTTTAAAAGCATGTTATTATCAGAATCAGTGACTAATCTTGGTACAAGAGAAGTCATCTCCCTATAGTCAGTTATAGAACTATCCTCAGCTTTGAGGTGATTTCTAAAGTAATCAATAGCAGCTTCTTGCATCTCCTCCTGGCCTGTAAGAATACCAGCATCAGTGTTAATGCTGCGTATTATAGCTTTCGATCTCTTTTGCCTAGCAGAGGCATGGAAGAAGGCTGTATTCTTATCTCCATTGGACAACCATTTAACTCGTAACTGTTGTCTTTTATAGATCTCTTCCTATAGAAGCAGTCTGTTTAATTCTCCCTTCAGTGCTGTGAGAGTAGCATTAACAGTGTGATCAGAATGAACACTATTTTCAAGAATAAGGATTTTGTCACGAGTTTCATTTATTTTCTGAAAAACATTCCCAAAAACAACTTTGTTTCAAAGTTTTAAATCAGCCTTTAATCTCTTCAACTTATAAGATACCCGAGTGATACCAGAAAAGGAGCAAGATCTCGTCCAGGATTCAGTTACCATAAAGTTTTAAATCAGCCTTTAATCACTTCAACTTATAAGATACCCGAGTGATACCAGAAAAGGAGCAAGATCTCGTCCAGGTTTCAGTTACCATAGGGAGAATAGCCGAGTGTTGAAGCCACATTCTTTGAAATCTGAAGCTCACAGGCCCCCTGTTATTCTCTTCCTCTGTGCGTAGTAGAAGGGGTGCATGATCACAATGATTGCGCTCAAGATGTACCACCATAGAGTCAGGAAAAGCTGCCATCCAGTTATGATTGACAAGAGCCCTGTCAAGGTGTTCCCATAATAACGAACCATTCCTGTTACGGTGCCAAGTAAATCAAGAACCTGTGAAAGGAACATCATACAACGAATTTCTATCAATAAATTGTACAAAATCTTGTTTAGCAACACGCAAAACTGGACCACCTCCAAGTTTTTCCTCGTCTGTTTTCACACTATTAAAGTCCCCTATCAACATGACAGGCAAATTAGTAGACAAGATATGGGAAAGGGATGACCAAAGATTCTCCTCAACAAATAATCACATTTCGCATAAATCACCACCAAAACTATAGATACTCCCTTCCAATCCAAAGTTACGACAAGAAATTGATCGGTAGCTCCCAGAACTGTGATGCTATGATTGCCAGGGAGACAAAGCCAAACCTTTCCTCATTCACTGTCATTAGAGAGAACCTGGGAGAGACCTAACTTTCTGGACTTACCCCCTTCATTGTCATTGGAGCTGACCTGAGAGAGACCTAATTTTCTGGCAAAATGAGAAGCTTTGTTAACAGGCAACATAGGTTCAAGAATGGCTAGAAAAGCAATATTATACTTTCTATAAATTAGTTTGAGGTGGCGGGTTGTTGTAGCATTGCCCACACCCCTAGCATTCCATACAAGGAATGCACTCATTAAAAAACTTTTGAGAGGTATCTCTGACCAGCAGGTCAGAGATGCAACTGAGCTTCCTATGACGTCGGTTATTGGCTCTGATATCTGGAGTATCGGAGTCTGAGTAATAAGCCTCATCCCTCTCTGGTCTTAAGGTCTGATCACCTCCAGTCTGCCTTGGTGCCTCTAAGTTTAAAGTGTCAACCAAAGCGTCAAAGGAATTGCTGATAGGAATGTTATCCATTTCTCTAGTGGGTATCATGTGTTGCGGTGAAGCCAAAGCTCCCTTTTTGACTGGATGAAAGATCCCGTTAAGAGTAGAACCTGTTTCCACAAGCATAACTTCCTTCCCAGTTTCAATATTCAGACTTATTCTCACAGTGCAGTTGTTCTTACTCTGATTGTTTTCTTCCAGAATTTCCTCATGTCCAACATCATGGAACTCCTCTCTTGCGGGGCTGGAGCTAAGTGTATGGGGATTGTCATGTGTAGCCAGATTTTTCGGGCTCACACTACCATTATTTCCATCATCAGTTTCAGCAATCACAGTCTCCTTCTCCTCCTTTTCTCTTTCTGCTGAGGTTTTCACTCCCAGATTGCTTCTATTATCAGTTAACATTGGGGGATTAATTTTTGAGTCTATCTGTTCGTTTAGATTCAATGCGGCAGTACCATTTTTTCCATTATCATTATATTTATCAACATTCAAAACCTGCTCCTTTTCTCCCTCTGCTGGGATATGAACTCTCAAGTCACGTCTCTTATCAGTAGGCAGTGGTGGAGTAATTCTGGAATCTGTCTGCTTAGAATCTGCCCCACTGTAATGCTGCCTATTCAATCTCTTACAATCCAACCTTTCATGTCCATGTAGCCTGCAATGCACGCAATATTTAGGGGATCTCTCATACACCACTTCTTGCCAAAACCCCTCTCCATTATCAGAAGCAATCCAAATCACATCCTATATCAATCTCAACACACACTCTAGCATAACTGGGTCTTGTAAAAGTAATAGTAGGAAGATCAGTATCCAAATACTTACCAAGTGGTTTGACAATGGCCTGCAGGTAGGAAGGAATGCAGAAATTCAGTGGGAGCAGGGGTAGCCTCATCCAAACTGGAGTAACTGGCGACTCCACTGTAGCATTAAAATCCCTTGACCATTTGAATAGCCGAAATAAAGAGCCTTCGATAGAATGAGAATCTCTCATCCACGCCTTGGAGAAGTCATCTGCGTTCTGTAATTTAACCAGTACATGGCGTCGATCTATGAAGCTGACAATAGGAATTGCAGTTAATCCCCATTTGGTGCTGATATGATGTCGAAGAACATCCGTACGAGGTCGAGATTTCGAAAATTTCGCAATGAGGGCAAACTGCAAAGGGGCTTCAGACCTCTGTAACTCCAAGGGGGAAAATACTACGGCGTGTTTTCCTTCCTTCCATTGTGGCTGCCTAAGTGAAACAGCTACATCCATCATAGGGATAGTAGAGAGATCATGCCGAATCAGAGGCGAAGAAACGGTTGCTGCGTAAGAGATAGGAGCAGTGTGAGGGTAGGTATTGTTCTTCGGGTTAGGTGGTGTAGAATCTTTATTATGGCCGGGAGGTTCGGCCATTCTGGCGGATTAGCTCCACCAAGTGGGGCGGCGGCTGTAGATCTAGGGCTTTGGCCGGAATTTGGTGAAGGAGACGGGGTTATTTTAGAAAAGGTGGAGAGAGCATTTTTTCCTTTTTCCTTGAAAGTCAATATTAGTTTGCTCCAAAATTTCCTAAGTATTGTAACTTAGTTTATGTGGATTTGCATAAGTTAGTTTTAACGGCCATCCAACAAACGAACTCATTTAAATATTGCTATGAAATGAAGTTAAGTGATCCAATTACTGTTAATTAAATTTTAATGACCTAATTATAATTAGGGTGAAAGTTTGGTCATCGTGTACAACTAAGTATTAATCAGTATTCTAAAACTCGTCTATACGGCCCAATAGGCACTGATAAGCTAGAAGCTCGGGCAAAACGTCTCGCTTCGCGTCTGACCTTTTTTTTTTTCTTTTGATTTTTAAACTGTTGAATTTTTTCCTTCCTCTCTTTCGTATTTCCCAGGCACGCTTTATTAATTTTTTTTTCTTTTTTTAAAAGTCCTTTATTTGACTTTAGTTTATTAATTTTTTTTATGTTTTGAAAAAACTTTTCACTTTAATTTCAAGTTTTTAAAAGACTTTATTGACACAAAAATTAAAAATAACTTTATCCGATAAAAAGTTAAATAAGATTTAAGTTACGATATTATCTACATTATGTAATTATGATTTTGAGACACGTTATTTTTGTTGAAAACTTCGAAAATATTTATGAAATTCCTATAAATCTATTAGGATTTGTCTAAATGAAAATTGAAACTATGAAAAATAATCTATTTTTTTGTATTTCGAAAACTTGAAAATTATATAATTGACTAATTGTATGAATTATTAAGTAAATCCTTGTTTGATATTGATTAAAATCAAAATTTAATCTAAGTCAAAATCAAACAATCAATATTAACCACATAATTCATTGGTCCCACAACTTTTCAACCACACATTCCATCAACTTTTATCAAAATCTACTAAAAACCTAATTTTAATCTCCATCAAACAACTCCTAGTATTTTATAATTTAAGATGTTTGATATGTATTATTTTAATCATTAAATGAGTTTTAAAATGATTAAAAAATTAAAAATAATATTAAAAATAAGAAAACGTTTTTTGAAGTCTAGGCCTTGCTTAAACTCAAAAAGCTTGAAGTTTCGCTTTCACGTCTAGTTCGCTTTTTAAAACCCTAGTATTAATCTTCCAACTAAATGATCAGAAAAAAACTGACCAATTTATTGCATTGGTTTCACACATGGATCAAAGGAATTAATTAGAGAGAACGTCGACATTGTTCATCTATTTGAAGAATCAATGATGCTACTTTATCTTGATTAAGCTAATTAATTTACATAAATCAAAGTTCATGACATTCAGTTCATAAAACAAAATGCTCAGGTTGAAAGTTAATACAATAAATGTGACCCTAAGACACATGATAGGAAAGACCTAAGTTCTTTTTTAGGACGGAATTAAGTCTTCAGAATAAAAAACTGAAAAAGTAGTTAAGTTATATACAATTTAATTATATATATATTTTCATGTTAGAAAATTATGAATTTGATGTTTAAATAACTAGGTTCTAGCATTAAGATTCATGTCCAGAATACAAATTTTTGCTAGATAATAAGGATATAACATTATTCACATAATTTAGGCACCAGTTCTCATGCTTCTTCACCATCCATATTTATGAAATAACTAAAATGAACTCCTTCACACCCTTACTATAATCTTTTATCACTGCATACCATACCCTAGGGTATAAACCTGATACAATTCTTCAGATTGATTAACCTTAGTCGCTGAATCCCAAGAGTTGGATGATGCTGAATTTGCGTCGACAAAATCATTTGACCACCATCCAAGGTTGTCCTTTGTTTCATTCATCTCTTTGAAACAATCAAATTCGGCTATATTTTGACTCAGTGTAGGCAGACAATCAGCAGATTCATTGTTGAGTAAATAATTAAGTTCAGTTTGAGTAAATCCTGAGACAGGTTCAATACCCTTGTAATTAGATTGCCCCACAAAATTTGAGCTTTCGGAATTTTGATGCTCTTCCGCCTTCAAATTGCTTATGGTACTGCATTCCACAGCAGCCTGTTGAGGACTGATGGATATTCCTTGAATTGGATTATTTTGATTATTACTGGCATTCAAAAACTGGAGGCTTTGGATCGTTTTGTCTTGGAAGGGATTCAATTTGGGCCAAAATGCAGGATTATTGTAGAAAGAGAAAGGGTTCTGAAACTGCATGTGGAGTTGAAGTCTTTCCAGGGCAGAACTGCTGAGATTCTGCAAATAATTGTTTTCCTCTCCACCATTTGCATCTTTTGGATCCTGACCTGAAATTGCAGATAGTCGGTTCATGCGAGAATTTTTGCCCCTTCCGAGCAACTTTTTCTTCAATTTAGTGTTCCAGTAGTTTTTGATATCATTGTCTGTTCTTCCGGGCAGCTGGGCTGCTATTACAGACCACCTAAGATGAAATAAATTTGAAAAAAATAAGCCATGTATGAAGAATTCAATTATCATGAAGAAATATACAGAAAAGAAATTTTGATTCCTGACCTTGAACATGTGAAAAGAAAGGTAAAGATACAAAGATAAGCAAAAACCCTAATGAGAAAATAAATAATTAATCCTTAATTAGGTTGAACAAGTGATTCCTCAAACAAAAGAATCATAGACAATTGCTAAAGGACAACTAGTTTTTGCTGAAACTCATGGAAAGTATTTATGCATATGAAGGAGAGAGAGACCTGCTGCCAATACTGATATAGAGGCTGCAGATGATATTGTCTTCTTCCTCACTGAATCCTCCATGCCTTAGATTAGGTCGCAGGTAATTTAGCCATCTGAGTCTGCAACTCTTTCCGCATCGCTTAAGCCCTATTATCATCATTTCCAACAAATTTATAATCAGAACATGAAACACAACAAACACACATACAGAGAGATCTAAGGGCCCCATAATTGAGTACGTACCAATTTTCTGAGGAAGAGCAATCCAATTTCCACCAGTTCCATACTCCTCAATATATGCCTTGAGTTTTGCATCTTCTTCAGGAGACCATGGTCCCTTCTTAACATTGGCTTTGTCACAGCATGGGGCTCTTCCCATCTCTATCTCTCTCTCTCTCTATATATATGTTTGATAGTTTTCTTTCTCAATTTTTTCTCCAACCCAATCAAATGAAACAGATAGAATTAGCTTTCTTTGGTTTCTGTTGAGGTAAAATGTCAGAAGGGAAGACCTAGCTTTATAGGTAGAAAAGTGATGATGAAATACTAGGATGAACCAAAAGTCTTACCATCTTAATTCTAGGGTGTGTGCCTCTCTCTCTCTCACACACACACACACATTTGGATTAGTTCAGTCATAATACAACATGACAAAGTACTGCAAAAGTTTTCTCAAATTCATATACTAATATCAATAATCATTTTTGGGTTAGCAATAATTTAATATGTTATGGAGTTTGTAGGGTAATGATAAAGCAAAAATTAAGAAAGGAAAAGACTCCATCCTCTTGTAAACTTCCTCGAGATGTTCAATATCTTTGGGGGCATTTAGGTCTACTAGTTTACAACAAGTTCAAATTATTTTTAAACATTATCCTGTTAATAATTCAGGATTAAATTTCCTAGGTTCATATGAAGGACAATTCATGTTGTAAAAGTTTAGAGATGATCAAAAAGACCAAGTTTGCTCGAATAAATATTTACATCGTGTAGTAGAGAGGTTATCTTACCCATATATTGCTTTGAAAAGTAATCTTTCGATGGAAAACAATTTATAATTTTATCAAAATGAACGAAAATGATTGGAGGTTCGTTCAGTTATATAGAAAGACAAAGAGAACTCTCTAATTTAGAGACAATTTGCATCGACACACACATCTTGACATCAATTTGGGCAAAGTTCATGGCAGATTTATCTATAAATGGTAAGTGGTAAACCTATAGATTTTCCATCTAATTTTGGTTTTATAAATTAGATGTTATGAACTGCCAAATTTAAGAGGTTTTTAGAGATACACAGAATATTTCAAGAAAGTACTCCAAATACTTTTTGCAGTATGCAATGTGAAATCGTTATATGTATCACAGCATGAGAAGTCCCAACAGAATTCAAAATTTTCTACTAGAAAACACGCTTTTGATGTCAGTTTTAACCAAGAAGCTTCGTTGCCATAGCTTAAACACGGTATGGTCACATTAAATAACAAAAGGTGAAAATTTTGAAAATTTCATATTACTTAGCTTCATTGTTTCGGTAGTGCCAAGATATTGCTGTCTCATTTGAATATTTTAAAAGAAAAAAGCAGCATTAATTTTCGCTTACGAGATAATTATCTTTCTTTACTATTTTACAACCTCGACGATAATTTTTTTGGAAGACATTATTAGTCTTTTCCGACCAAATCATCTCCTAATCAGCGTAATTTTTTTTTTTAAACATAGACTTTTGTTTGAAATCGCACGACATTTTATCTAAAAATTTAAATTATTAGACGTCAAAAAAATATTTTTTTAGTTATATTTATATATTCAATAGTTTCTAGTGTCGACTCTATCCCATCACGCAAGTAAGTTGAAAATTAAGTTTTTATTCCTGTAAATTTCTCACCAACTTGTGTTATTTATTTATGTTATTTAATTTTGACACCTTGAAAGTTAACAAGTAGGCTAGAATTCTATATGAATATATGGAAAACTGAAAAAACAATTAAAAAATGGCCTAAAAAATTAATACTTTTAGCGAGGAGCTCCACTGATTGACCTTGGTTCCCTTGGATAATACTTTTCTATGTAGAATGAGAAGAAATTGCTGGTCCGAACCTCACTTTGATAGAAATAACAAGGGGAAAGCTATCAAAATTCAAAAGATGTTTTATTTTTTTAATAAATAATCAATCTGAGTCAGATCTTTAGGAAGAAGAAAACAAGCTTCTGTTTGTCTCTCTCTCAAGGTTAGAATCTCTCTCTCTCTCTCTCTCCATTGACACTGCATGTCATGCATCATCAAAGAAGACCTAAATTTATGACTTTCAGGAGAGCTGGTGAAATAATTGTTGATAAACGGATAAACATGGTCACTATTGGTGTAAAAGAAAATTAGATTGAAGGTTATGCACGAAAGTCGTCTAAAAGTTTAACCTGTTAAAAATAATTCGCTTTCATGCAAGGTGGATAGTTTTTTTTTTTTAATCATAAATAAACCATTTTTTTCTTAAAGAGTCAATAGGAGTCGACTAGCAAGCAAATTTGTTGAACTATGAATTAATCTAATAAATATTACATCTTGGATAAGACAAGTGATTTTTAAAAGAATTTGGGTGAACGGTTCGGTTTGGTTTCAAGCACTATCGAAACCTAAACCATTATTTCCAAATGGTTCGATTTGGTTTTGAAATGATGGAAGCGTATAAATCAGGTTAACGATGTTGCGAACCTAATTTAACACGTCGTCCAAGAATTGTCATTGTTATGGTACTGTTTACTTTCCAAACAAAATTATCTTCTTGGTAATTATTCTCGTAGATCTTCTACGTTATTAAAAGATTTTGGGTAAATATTTAGGAACTGATAAGAATGTTTCCCTATCAAATATATGTGTGGATCCACACTCCAGCGATCCAAGCTTCCATAACGGAGGGAAAAAAAAAAACACATTCAAGGCAAGGGGCTGCGCCTATCGGTTTCTTGCCCACTGAATTTACCACAGTTCGTCATCTCCATTTGAACTTGTACGAGGTTCGCCAATGAACTTTTGTGCAAAAGCCATGTGAGTTTCATAGTGATGTTGACAAGTGTGAGGTGTGGGAAGCAAGCGAGGCTTCCAGTGGCAGGACGACATTAGCTTCACGAGATTTAAAGATGTAGAGCATGTTCGGTAGAGATTAAAATCGGATTAAAATTGAAAAACTAGTCATTATTGTTGACTTTTATTAGACGAGTGAGACTCAATAACGACTATATTTTCATTTTTAATTGGATTTTAATCTTTACCAAACGTAAACGTAATAAACTTGATGTGGATATATTGATATTCAATGTCTAACATACGTTCTACTTCAAATTTATGATTTCAACAAGTTTTTAATGATTCAAAATCAAGCCCAAGACAAATCAAACACAAAAATTTAGTTGTCTATAAATATTGAGACCGTCTTAAATCTTAATTAGTTGTCAAAAAAGGCTCGAATACCTTTATTAGTTTAAATCTTTATGTTAACGTATAGAACAAAACATATATATGGTCTGAATTGCTTTACCTAGTTGTATCGACATTACGAATGAAAAATTGTCATATACTATGACAAGTTACCAAGCATCCAATCAGCACAAAACACATAAAATATCTTATGAGATAGAGTAAGAGGGGTTGACAAAACTATATACATACAATTATGGAACCTTTGTATATTTACA